ACATAGTTTCATCCAATTTCTATCAATTCAAAAGCATATGCTACAAATATGTACGTACACATATAAATACATATATACGATATAAGAAACGAAAAAAAAAGACAAAAACTCACTTTCGTTTCGCTTCTTCGTGTTTCTTTTATAAAATTGGGGTATTAAAAACGTACACACAGTGCCTATCAATGAAAATTGAATCGATTTGTGGACGCCAAAGTGATGCCGACAAATTCACGTAGTCGGTATGTGCGTGTGAGTGCAATGCTTGAGAATAGTAGCGGAATACTCGGCTGGTTTCTTCGCTTTATGGGCTTTACATTCATCAGTGTGAAAAAAAATAAAGGAAAGGAGAGAGAGAGAGGAAGATGGAGAAAAAAAAGAACAGAAGAATGTGTAGAATAGTAAAAAAGAATAACGTGCTCGACAAGCTCCCATACAGAGACATACATACACTCTATATAGAAAAGATGTTATATTTGATGATCAGCTGTGTGTTCTCGCAACATTTTGACATCTCTACGGGAACTATTGCATGTCGGACGTATATATATATGTGTGTGTGTGTGCACATGATAGTAGAATTGATTTGTTACAGAATTCACATAGACATACTTCGTATAGAAAAGATAGATAGGAAATTCAAGACATTTGATGATAACGACAACAAGAGCAACAGTAATAATAACAACGAGAAAAATAGTACTCGTGGAATTAATTTCCATCGATCATTATAAATATACATTGTTATGTTTAATCTATAGACGAACAGTTGTTCTTATACTGTACTTGATAGATCATCGTCATTTGTCTATTTGCTATTATATCATGTTGTTATTGTTATATTGTCGTTGTTCAATCGTTACCAGACGCGTTAAAGATAACCGGAAGCATAAATACTTTCTTTAAATAATATGTTATGTATAGAAAATATAGGCATATTAACTAGAAGGAATAGGCATCTTTACATAAGTAAAGGGCATCAAAGAAAAGAAGCAATAAACAAAAAGACATCTCATTGACTCATTGCTATTTAAATTTTTATCTCATTATATATGATAGAACTAAATGACTAATCTATTGATTCAAAAGCTGATCGAGGGAATAGAAAATAATAGAAAAAAAAAAGATTTCTTTTATCATTATCAGACTTACAACACAAAAAAAGATTTCATGGACAGTTTATATGCTAATCAATGAAGAACAATCTTCGCTGCTTATATATTCGCTTTTTGCCATTTATTCTATTTTCTCCCTCATTTTTTGTCGCCTCGTTAACAAAACGTATGCAAGACCTTCGATCAGAGTGTTGAAACAATAATAGTTTTCATGTCATTTCTTCGTGTGATGAAAAATGTCTAGAGACAATAAATTACAATCATTCTGAAAGCAAACATATGAAAGTAAAAAGAAAAATTTATACAAAGTAAACATAAAATAATCATGTTTTAGAATATTAAACTCATAGGAGAAGAAGATGATGATGATGAATAAAAAATCCCCATATCTACCTTTTGTTACGAACATATTTAATCATTTTTTCTCTCTTTCTCTCCTGTTCATACTCGTTATAATGTAGTTATGTATAAGCATGTCTAACAATAAAAATTTAACGAATAACTCTCTTCTATTGCTTCTTTTACATACACATGGAATATACGTTTTTTTTCTATAGGGATATAGAGCTAATTGGACATCGCATAAAAGAAAGAGAAAAAAAAGAAATGCTTCCATAAATAAGCTTCCTTAATCGAGGTCGTTCCTATGGCTTATTTAGAAGCTAGTATATATATATTTATAGATGCTATTATTTTATAAAAATAAGAGAAGAATGAATGAATGAATGAACATTAAAGGTAAGTATTTAATTAAGTTAATTAAATGAATCAATGTATTAAAAAATTCATAAAAATTAAATCGATATAAGCTTACCTTTTTTTTTTTTAATTCAGTTAGCTTTCTTGTTATTAACCACTTCAGACGAATATAATATTGAATAGTGTGCTTTCAGAACTAATGAAAAGACATATAACCTTCAACCGATCGCTCTTGGTTGATACTTATTCATTGTCAAAAAGAAAAAAGAAATAAAGTCATACTCTATTTAATTAAAATAAACAGAAATCAATAAAACAACATGTCAGTGAATTTTCAATAACTTCTGTTTTTTTTTTGAAATTTATATTTGTCTTGTCTGGATAACGACGTGATAAAATATAACCAAATATGGCAATATTATATATAGTAATCGATCGATATTACGATTGACTACACATTGCAACAGATGGTTCAGTCACATTGACGTATAGTTTTCTATTGACGTCTGACGCTAACAGTTTATATTAATTATAGACAAAAAAAAATAATAATTCTAAGCCACAATAATAAACAAATCTGGAGATACATTCACGTGATAACAACAAAAATTACGCTATATATACAAAAAGCAAAAGATGTTTTCGATATTTTATTGTTATATAAAAATCAATCAGTTTAAATTAAGATATCGAAATAAAATTGTTTCATTTTTTGTTCTTTTGAAAGAAAATCTTCAACAAAAAGAAAATAAATGTTAGTTTAATCAAGTAAATATTTCTATTGTAAAAAAATCTTTGGTAAATAATTGATTAAAACTATCGATCCATCAAAATAAATCTAATGTTTGCCTGTCGAATAGACATTAACCAAACGAACGACAATGTCGGGACAAATCAAACGAAGAAAATGATTTTCTCTTTATTAATCATGCAGGGATACACACTATTGACGTCAACGATACATTAGGTTACACATCTTTATCGATTAACAATTATTATTTTGTAAAGATTATGTGAGAAGAAAATTTCCGACGTATAAATAAGCATAGATGGATATTAGAGATTTTTATTTGGTCTGAAGGAACAGCAGACGTCATAATCATTATAATTAGAATCAGATATAAACAAGTATCATCTAGCATGAGTCTCATCGAATATCATCTGTAAACATAGACTTCACATAAGGTCGTCGTTCATAGGCTATTCATCTCAGTTATTTTTGTGTTTCTATTCTATATATTATTATTGATACACTCTTATGAATAATATTTAATAAATGTTAAGTTTTAAAATATCCGAAAAAAAACATATGATATTAGTACAAGATCCTATTAGACTGATAGCTTGTTTTTGTCGACATTAAAACATTGATTAATAGAATATGTTGTTTATGAAAGGAGGCGATGATCTATTGCAAAGACATCTGTTGATAAAAAATACGTAAGAAATATCGATTATAATGAAGTAAGTAAAAATATTTTCATATACTTCCATTTTTATGGATTATTAATGCTGTGTGATTTGTCTTCAGAGAAACATCTTATCTTCTACCTAAATGAATGATATTCAAAGCTTATTAATTCTTCAAAGTCAAAAGATTAATAGAGAAAAAAAAAGGAATCATTAGATATATCCTTCGGCAATGAACATTTGAAAAAAAACTGCTCATTTGCTGTTATATTAATTACATCCGTCATTTTATTTCAAACTATTAGAAGTAATTTGGAAAAATACGACTGCAATCTATAGACAGATTTTCCGTATTGCTAACTCAATAGACAGCGACCTCTTCTCTTCTAGACTAAAAGCTTTAGCAATAAACCAATGAACAAACGATTTCTTGTTATTTATTTGTTGCTACTGTTGTTTATCGTTAATCAGTTTTAGTTCCATTTTGTTCCGACTCATATTTATCAATTGATCTTAAAGAAAAAACATGAATATAAGACTTTTCATTATAGATCTTTTACTCAAATCAAAGCTGTTTTAAACGATACAATGACGGATTCAAAATATTTCTCAACAACACGAAAAGGTAAGCGGATATTGTATGTTCAATTCATAGATTCGATGAGGCATTTTCGTTCGCTTTACTCATTCGAAATGACGAAGGCTAAGTAAATATACACGACACGTTGATATGACTCTTTCATGTATGTCAGCATAGGTAAAGAAACGAACGAATGAAAGAAAAAAAAAATCTACAGGTAGCTTATATTCAAATGTAAATGACCAGCTTTATTTTCTTTCTTTTCTTTTTCTTTTTTTTTCCTTTTTAATGGTTCTCTTTAGTGTATTGGTCAAAGAAACAATAAAATCTCGATTGTCACATATTTTTTTTCTTTTCTTTTCGGAATAAAATTGTGAAGAAAAAGAGAAATTAATAGGATTTTTTTTCTCTTTCTGTTGCCTTCGACAAGAGGTGACGACAACGACGACGGCGACAAGCATTTTTTTATATTCTCATAACATACTCATCCTCGTTTTTGCAGTTAGTCTCCGTTTCAAACGACACATACTCCATTTGTACTTTCTTTTTCATATTGAAACACATACGCGTGTATTTTTTTTTCTTTCTTTTGCCTATACCGCATATCTTATCATTATATCCTCGTTGACTATTTCGATTTTTTGATTAAAAGATAAAAGAATTAAGAAAAAAGAGTAGACATGTCTGCTATGTATGAAGCTGAAGCTAAGAAAGGTACTCATTAAAAATGAATTTATTAGTAAAAAACAAACCTAATTTATTTGTTTATGTATATATTAGGTGAAATTTATGAACTCAAAGCTGAATTGAATAGCGATAAACGTGATCGTAAAAAA